AGGCCCCAAGACTAGGAATGGCGCAGGGCCCAAACTAGGAGTGTAGAAAGGTGGGGTGGGGGTGGGGGGGGGATGGAAGGGTGAATGTGGCTTAGGGAGTCCGGGCGGGGAGAGTTGCGCTATAGACTTACCCCAAGAGGCCTGAGGATGGTAGTGCAGGCTAGGAGAGTTAGGCCGTGGTGCAGGCTCAGGGAAGCAGAGAGGGGTCAGGGCGGGGCCAGGACCAGAAGTGGTGCTCCTGGAGCCCAAGAAAGGGACTGAGTTGGTCTGGGTGAGAAGGATCAGGAAGCAGTATTGGTTCCCCAGGTGTCTGGGGCCCCAAGACTTGGAATGGCGCAGGGCCCAAACTAGGAGTATAGAACGGCGGGAGGGATGGAAGGGTGAATATGCCTTAGGGAGTCCCGGCGCGAGAGTTGCGCTATAGACTTACCCCAAGAGGCCTGAGGATGGTAGTCCCTAAATAATATCTTAATTAATGCTATTTAATATTCATTAGGATTTTGGCAGCCATATCCCACTATTGGCAAGAATTACACTTTTGAACACCCAAAATCTCCCCCTGCCTCTACCTCATGTGACTTGCCTGCCATTAAATCACATCTCCACTGTCTAGTACTAATACATTATTTGTTTTTAAAGCTGTACACAGTTATGTTCATTTATTATTATTTAACTTGGGTCCATTTACCACTCTTTTTTAAAAAATTTTTTTTATTTATTATTTTTATTTTATTGCCTGCGTGTAGGTAAGTGTAGGTAAGTGCACCCATGTCGTGCGATGCCCACAGAGGACAGAAGAGGCTGTCATATCCCCTGGAACTGGAGTTATGGACAGTTGTTAGCTGCCATGTGGGTGCTGGGATTCAAACTCGGGTCTTCTGCAAGAACAGCCAGTGTTCTTAACCACTGAGTCATTTCTCCAGCCCCATTTTACCACTCGAGTATTTTAAGGCTTTATTTCTTTTTCTACTCTCTTTCCTGACTTGGAAAGATGTAGTATTTTGTTTTGGTGCCATGTTTGTGATACTTCAGAAAGTTTTTGTCACCATTCTTTCCAATGGTAAGAAGCAAGAAGTTCCCTATTTCAAGTAAGAGAATGTATAAAGTCAACTTATAGTAGCATCACAAAATACTTGCTTTTTTATTATTATTTGAGAAAATATGTAATATCCAAAATATGGCATGAATTTAGTTACATAACTTTTTGTTCACAATAATTTATACATATGAAAAGTTATTGAACACGTGTGTGGAACAGTTTCCAATATCCTGTGGTTTCACACCCCTTGTAAGGATTAGACTTCTCACCAGAAAACACTAGTTAGTTCATAGCTTACTATTGTCACAGTGACTACTTTGTATTTTTAATTAACTTGTAATTAATTTCAAATTAAGGAAAATCAAACTTAAAAATAGCATGCATATGTGTACATATATGCTTACATTTTTCTGAACTGTTTACAGTAATATTGTACATTTTACCCCTAAATACCTCAGTGTTATTTTCCTCAGAATAGAAATATTCTCTCAAAGTATGGTTACGTTTTATATCCCAATTTTGTCAGTTAATATTCTAATTCCAATTTTAATATTTTAAGATTCTAGTTTTCCATATTTCCATATTTCACTCGCCAATTTTATCAGTTAGCCTGTTATTCATTACAGTATCCCTGATCCCCCAGTACAGAATCCACTTTTGGGTAAAATATTGCCTGTGATTGTCAAGCCTCCTTAACCCTCAGTTTCTTGGTTGTAGGGAGCAGTAGTTCTTGGTTCTTACTTGACTTCAATCTTAACCTTTCCCAGTGCTCCTGCCCCATCCCTCCCACTTCAGATGGTTTTGAGAAAACTAAGGAAGATAAACAGATTGGAAAGGTATGTGGCCCCCTGTTTTGCTAGCTGTAGGTTGCAAATTTGGCATTAGGCTTTCTAAAAGCCAGTTCGTATTGGGAAACAAGATCAGTGCCCTGATTTACAGTGTTCTGAAGATAAAACAGACTAATTGCACATGGGAAGTATCATTTGGCTGGGTATCAAGATCAGAGAGATAGATATCCCTGGAGTCCTTATAAAGAAGACACTATTGATTGACATCCTCAACAATACCTTTACTATAAATAGGATAGTAGCTTTATAGAATTGTTTTTATGATGTCCCTCAAGGTGGGCCAATTACCTAATAGTAAGTGCGTACCCATGAGAACAGAAATTTTTGGTTTTGTGTCTGCTATTGAGGCTTATGCTATGGTAAAATTACAAGCTGGCAAGTAAGTTATAGAACTGTTCTTCAAATGAAATTTTACCAGAAGGAAGTGAAGGAAGACGTAGAGCTGAAGTCACGTGGTGAATGTAGAGAGCTGCTAGCTTAACTCTCTCTTCTTGCAAGGTGATTAGAGAGCCTAGAGCACAGGGTAAAGATGGCCTGTCTGGAGAAAAAAAAAAAAAAAAAAAAAGGTGTGCACTATGTGGCTACAGACAGTTCTTCACAGACATACCTGCCAGATTGAAATCTGACTTTGTCTGATAGCATTTTATTACATTGTTTAAAATGTCACCATTTTAATAGCCCCTTATTATCATCTTCTTACTGTCAAGTATTGGCTTTTGTTCTACTTCACAAGTACTTTTCTACAAAAGCAAAGATCATGCAAGACAAACCCCAGCTTATCTTCAGGTATCATAGGTAAACACTATCCTTTCCTTGTCTGCCTGTTCTTGGGAGCTCATCATTTCCTTCTTCCCTAAGAACAGGTTTAGTTACCCACTTCCTGTACATACAGTGTCTTTCCTCTCTTTTTTGTAACTTTAAATATTTTTATTATTTCTATGTGTATGAGTATATTGCCTGCATGTATATAAGAGCACCCATGTTGTACATTGCCTGTGGAGGTCAAAAGAGGGTGTCAGATTCCCCTGGAACTAGAGTTACCAACAGTTGTTAGCCATTGTGTGAGTGCTGGGAATCAAACCCGGGTCCTCTGCAAGAGCAGTGAGTGCTCTTAACTGCCGAGCCATCTCTCCACCCCCTTTGTAACTTTAAAAACTCTCCATCTACGTGGAAACTCTTTTCCTCCCAAACTGTCACCCTTTTTCTTCTTGCTAAACAAACCAAGCTTGAAAAGTTGTTTATATTTACTATATTTTCTTTTTTTTAACTGCTGAGCCATCTCTCCAGCCCCTACTATATTTTCTTCCCATTATTTTCATCGAAAATTATATAGTTATATAAATATATTTGGCATATTATTGAAATAACACCAAATTTAAGAAACAGTGTTATGGTACAGTTGAAAGCCTGTGACCTCTTCCCTCCCCTCAAGAGTAACCATCATCCTAATTTGATGATACTGTTCTAATACATTTCATTTTTGCTTTTGCTGTGCTTGTGCAATCTCTAAGCAGTATGTAGTTAACTTTTGAATTTAAGTACTGTGTATACCTGGGCATAGTGGTGGATGCCTGTAACCCCAGCACTCAGGAGGCTAAGGCAGGAGGTTGCCATAAGTTTGAAACTGGCCTGAGCTGTAAACAAGCCTGTCTCAAAAAGAGAAAAAGAAAATCAGTTGTGTACTATGGACGATTTACAAGTATGCTCAAGGTTGATCCTCTCAGGTTTTGACCTGTAGGTTTTATGAGCAAGTTTATTCATCTACAGTGTAACACAAATGTTACCATTATCAGTGTGCTAGGATAACTTGTTACCTAGTATTTTGAATATAGTTTTAGGACATTATATCAATACCAGCATAATATTAGCCTTCACTCCTAGTTAATCTTATTTTTGAGGTTTATCTACGTCAATGCAGGTAACTTTCATTTGTTTCATTAATCTATAGTATTGTCATATGGATATATCACACCTTACCTCTTTTCCTATGAATAGATATGTCTATAGACTGTATGTTGGCCAGAGGTGAGAGAGGGAGCTATGTTATCAGCTATTCAGTGGTATCAGAGTATGTGGGAGAAAGGTGGCAGAGAATCTCATCAGATCTAAAGAGATGATGGGTTTCTGGTCTCAGCCCCTGTGTGAACTATTATCTAAAGCCTTGAGTCAGTCAGTGAAAAGAAAACAGGAAGTCTCAAAGCGGATGTCTCTGGATTCCCTTAACTTATAGTTATACCCTATGAGCACACCACATGATCTGATCTGGAATGAGATAAGGCACAGCTGCTGAGTGGATTGGATAATCTCACTCAGATTCATAAACACTTTAAATGTGTACACATACAAATTCTTGATAGATGTTTGTGTTAATCTGAATAGTGACACCTGCATTACAAAGGCACAAGTTGAGGCTTGGTGTGGTGGCACATATTTATAATCCTAGCACCTGGGAAATGGAGCCAGCAGGATCAGATATTCAAGGCCAGCCTCACGTACATTCATAGCAAGTTCCAGGCCTGCCTGGGTCACATGAGAACCTGTTTTTAGAAAAAAATATTATTTTATGTGTACGAGTATGTTTCCTGCATGTGTGTAAGTGCACCCATATCGTGCAGTGCCTGCAGAGGTCAGAAGAGGGCATTGGATTCCCCTGGAACTGGAGTTATGGATGGTTGTTAGCTGCCCTATGGGTGCTGGGAATTGAACCTAGGTCCTCTGCAAGAGTAGTCAGAACTCTTAACTGCTGAGCCATCTCTCTAGCCCTGAGAACCCATTAAAAAAAAAAAAATAGGAAAGGAAAGGGAAGGGAGAGGGGAGAGAAGAAGGAAGGTGGGGGGGAGAGATTAAGAGTCTAGGCTTTTGCCAGGCATGGTGGTACATGCCTTTAATCCTAGCACTCGGGAGGCAGAGGCAGGAGGATCTCTGTGAGTTCAAGGCCAGCCTGGTCTACGTAGTGAGTTCCAGGCCAGCTGGGGCTACAGGAAGACCCTGTCTCAAAAAGACCAAAAAAAAAAAAAAAAAAAAAAAAAAAAAGAGAGAGAGAGAGAAAAAAAAGAGTCTAAGCTCTTACTGTGCTGCCTGAATTCTGCTCTTAGCATTAACATTTCCTTGCTGTTTGACCTTGGAAAAAAATGCTTAACCTCTTGTGCCATAGTTTTCTAAGATGTTTAATAGTGATAATAATCTCTATTTCATAGAGTTGTAAATATTAAATGAGTGAATATGTAAAACAAAGTTAAATGTGTGTGTTATCATTTATAACTGCCTACATATTGTAAATGCTATGTACTAGCTATTTTTACAGTTACTATTGCAAACTTTTTTATGTATGTGTTGTGTGTATATATGAACGTGTGTGGAGGGGTGTGCAGAGGCCAAAGGAAGATATTGCCTATCTTTCTTTATTGCTCTCCACCTTAATTTTTGAGAAAGATTTTCTCACTGAACTTCACTGAAACTCACCTTTTTGGCTAGGTTGGTTATCTAGTAAGAGTGGGGATTCACCTGTCTTCACTCAACCAATGCTGGGGTTAAAGGCAGGCGTGTGGGCTGTATTCGGTTTTTACAAGAGTACTAGGGGCTTGAACTCAGGTCCCTTTGCCTTTACAGCAAACCTTCTTCCAAGGTTTTTTTTTTTGTTGTTGTTGTTTTGAAATCATAAACAATCATTAAATTATTTCTCTAACTGGTATTTGTCAGATTGATTAGATTTTATTAACATATTAATATTTGTTGAGTTCAGAGTTTCAGATTGATGCTATGACTAGATTTAATTGTTATGAATTTTAAAGTCTTGGCATATTTGAGAGTATATGTTTTATGTTTCTTTCTGCATTGCCCTCAGTGAACTATTGATGATACTAACCTTATCTTTCCAGCTATCCAAACACATAAGCATGTTATAGTCAGAGAATCTGTCATCTGATGTCAGAAAGTATGTCTTTACCCTTAGTGTAGCATCGTAGTAGGTGTGGATTATGTTGCCTATATTTTGCTATTTTGCTAACAGATCAGCTTCCTGTTTATAATTCTGAGATTAAGTGACTAGAATCAGGTTACCAGGTGATAAAGCAGTTTTAGGAAATTTACCAAGACAATAAATTTTGTTGACCTTTCTTTTGAAAATTCACTAGTGTTGAAAAGTCAGTGTGGAAACAAACTTTATAGAGTTGTTTGTATACAACTGGGAATAAATTTATGGGATGGGCTACCCTCTAACTTGCTAAAAAGCTGAAGATTGACAACTGCTTTCATACTGCATTATCTAGCTTGGCTTTTAACTCTAAGAGAACTGTGTTCACAAATTGATGCTTTTTTCCTTTGGGGTTGGTATAGAAGCATTAAATTGTACTAAAATATTTATATGTGAGTGCATTTGGCTGAAAGCAATTGATGTTCTGTCCCCAAGAGAACAAAGAGAAATGCTGTATGGACCCACAGTCCAGAAAATACCCTAAGCATACTTCTTAAAAGGTAATTACATGGCCTGGATGATCAGAGCCTTACAGGGAAATGTAAGTGACAAAAGAAAAGGTATAGCGTGTGTAGGTTATCATTTGCTTTATAAGTTGTGCAATTGACAAAAATTAGGAGTTCGATTTATCAGACTGATTTCTTATATTTATTCCAGAAGGCCAGGATCAGTGGCATTGTTTTACCCATTATCATTTTATTATATAAAGTCAAATATTTAAATTTCAGAGATTCTATTGAGTTCTTTTTTTTAACCATATCTGCTTAAAAGCATGCTACTAATATGATAGATTGCTGTGTCTTGTAGATAGTCAATCTAATTTAGCAGCCGACATGAAAATCAATTAGAGTAGATAGCAGATCTACTCTAGCTATCTTGATGAGGTAACTTGAAAGGAATAAAACCGCTAAATGCTATTCTGAGAAACACATTGTAGTTTGGGGTCTTTATATGAAAATGAATTTATTTTTTCATGCATGGTTTCTGGTAGATAAACATGCATATGAATGTAAAA